GTATAACCTGTCATTTATTTGACAAAGATTGTAAAAAAAAAAAAAAAGTTAGTTTAGTTTAGGTTTCCTCTTGGATCAATAAGAGATGATCCTTACTGGACCTCTAGGAAAAACAGTTTAGAACTCATACAGCTATCCAGTATAAATAAAGTTAGTTTAATTTAGGTTTCCTCTTGTAGTAACACTGGAGGAAAAACAGTTTAGAACTGATAGAGCTGTCCAGTGTAAATGAAGTTAGTTCAGTTTAGGTTTCCTCCTTTAGAAACCCTGGATCAATAAGGATGGCAAATATAGCTAATTTAGAACTGATAGAGCTATCCAGTATAAATGAAGTTAGTTTAGTTTAGGTTTCCTCCTGTAGTAACACTGGATAAATAAGAGATGACCCTTACTGGACCTCTAGGAAGAACAGTTCAGAACTGATAGAGCTATCCAGAGTAAATAAAGTTTGTTTAGGTTTCCTCCTGTAGTAACACTGGATCAATAAGAGATGATCCTTACTGGATCTCTAGGAAGAACAGTTTAGAACTGATACAGCTATCCAGTGTGAATAAAGTTAGTTTAGTTTAGGTTTCCTCCTGTAATAATACTGGATCAATAAGGATGGCAAATATAGCTAATTAGATAAACTCTTTAATTAAATCTATGTCCAGTCTTTGAACCACAGCTTACCAGAATGTACAATAGCATGTCGTTTGAAGGTGACAGCAGAGATAAATTCCTTCTGACAAAGATGACATTTGAAAGGTTTGATGCCAGTGTGTCGTCCCATATGAGCCTGCAGTTCTTGCTGTGTGCGGAAAGATCGATCACATTCACTGCATTTGAACGGTTTTTCACCCGTGTGAACAGCCTGGAGTAACAAGACAATTAATGCTTCATTAATCACTAATTTCATATAATTAATCAGTAACTTTTAAATTAGAACACTAGGGGCTGGCTGTACGAAGGCTGGCTACAATCTTTGCCAGAAACTATGGGACAGCTGCTGTAATTTCATATAATTTGAAAGGAATGGCGCCCCCGTTCCCCCAGTTCAATGTTGGACCGACAAAAGCCGGATGTCTGGTTGGGAGGCGTCAACATTGAAACGGGTGGGGGAAGGAGGGTGGAAAAAATGTATCAGTAAATGGTATATTACAATATGCATGTGAAAACTAGATTGTCCCAATCTATATTGTCAAAGATTGTAGTTTCAGAGCAGATTTCCAACATCTTGCTTGCAAACATGGAAATATTTTAAATCTTGTTTGGATAGATAGAGCTTTTATTTTATAAACTTTTATGATAAACAGATATGCACAAATACACAAACTAAAACTGCAGGATAAATTTTAACCGGCCCCAGAACAGCCCTTCTAAAGATTCGAGAAACCTATCATGCTCATCCTATAATTCTCCTCCGCCGAGCGAAGCGAACTCTGCGAGGTCCATTTTATTCATGCGAGCAACTCCATAAACAACATCTTACCATGTGTGACTTGAGTCCAGTCTGGACAGCAAACGATTTCCCACAGACCTCGCAGTTATACGGTTTTTCACCGGTGTGTGTGCGAAGATGATCTCGGAGTCTGGCTGGACGAGTGAATTGTTTTGGGCAAACATCACATTTATAAGGTTTGTCGCCGCTGTGCGTGTATTTATGTTTGACCAGATCGAACGATTGGATACAGGCAAAGTCACATTGGTCGCATTTAAATGGCTTTTCTCCTGAAATGAAAATGGGGTAAGATTAGAGATGATAAAATCTTGATGCCAGCAATCACATTGGAGGGCATGCAAATGTGGCCGGTCACAATGACCGGTGAGGTTTATAAAAAAGTGACCGGTCAAGAGGCATTTTTGGCCAGTCATTGTCCGTTGACCGGCCGTTATTTTGAGCCCTGTATTAAAACAGAACTACGAAGGCCCCATTTTTTCACGTACAGTTTTATCTTGCTGATAAAAGGATATTACAAAATCATCATCAGGATAATTTTTACTCTATTAGGATAGTAAAAACTATCCTAATAAAGGATAGTTTTTTATTCTTATTCGATCCATAGAAAGTTTATGTTTCCTCCAGTATGTCTTACCTGTATGTATGCGATAATGTCGCTTCAGATCATCAAAACGTATAAACGCCTTATCACATTGGTCACATTTAAACGGTTTCTGTCCAGTATGTCTGAACATGTGACGTGATAATTCTGCTTGAGTTTTGAACGCTTTATCACAGTCATCTTGAGGACAAGGAAACGGCTTTTCATCTTGATGAACACGACGATGGACTCTGGAAAAATGATTTTCATCATTACCATCATTTATACCATCATCACAACTACCATCATCATCACCATCACCACCACTATCACCATCATCATCATCATCACCATCATCACCACCAACATCATCATCATCACCATCATCACCATCACCACCAACGTCATTATCACCATCACCATAACCACCACAATCATCATCATTACCATTGTCACCACCATCATCATCACCATCACCACCAATATCATCATCACCACCATCACAATTACCATCACCACCAACATCATTACCATCATCACCATCATCATTATCACCACCAACATCATTACCATCATCAACATCATTATCACCACCAACATCATCATCACCATAACCACCATCATCATCATCATCACCACCACCACCACCACCACCAATCCACCATCATCACACCCAAATCATCAACATAATCACCATCATCACCACACCATAACCACCACCACAACTACCATCACCACCACCACCAACACCCAAGCTACTTGAGAACTAATTCATTACCTCAATGAACCTGGATTATTAAAAGCTTTATCACATCCTTCGACATCACATGCATAAGGTCTTTCTTCAGAATGAGATAACAAATGCGATCTGAGTGAACTGGGATTATTGAACGCTTTCTCGCAGTATTCACATTCATACGGCTTTTCACCTACACATAAAATAAAATAAAAAAAATTAATATGTATTTGATTAAACACACCAGATTCATTATTGTTTCAATATACAAGGTAAAAATGAATCGGTGTTTTCTATAATTTCCTGTAATAATACTAGAATTCCTTACCAGTGTGAATCAACATATGTTGTCGTAGATTGCTGGCGTAGTTAAACACCTTCTCACAAACAGAACATTTGTGTTGTTTATCCCCAGATGCGTGCTCTCTCATGTGGCCATAAAATGACCAAGAACGTATGTACGCCTTGCCACAGATCTCGCATGTGTACTTCGGCTTCTCCAACTCTGTGAGGAAAGACAAAAACGTCAGTACGAAGACTAAAGACCCAGTCAAAGAGGATGAGAGTAAGAGAGTTGCAACTCTCGCTCGTGTTTAACCACCAACTCTCAGTGACTTTGAACTGTTCAAATGTTTATGAGAGTTGACGAGAGTTTTCGCGCCGTAATATCCAGTCAACTCTCATGTAACTCTTGTTCTCGTTTGACCGGGGCATGAGAGTTGAGAAAGCTCACATGCAAACTCTCGCTCCTCAACTCTCATCAACTCTCATGCAACTCTTGTTCTCTTTTGACTGGGGCATGAGAGTTGAGAAAACTCTCATGCAAACTCTCGCTTCTCAACTCTCATGCAACTCTTGTTCTCGTTTGACCGGGGCATGAGAGTTGAGAAAACTCTCATGCAAAGTTTCGTTTCTCAACTCTCATCAACTCTCACGCAACTCTTGTTCTCGTTTGCCCGGGGCATGAGAGTTCAGAAAACTCTCATATGCAAAGTCTCGCTTCTCAACTCTCATCCTCGTTTGGCTTTACGCGAAACAAGGAAACCCGTTGCCTGGCTGACGCTTATAAGATCACAACCGATCCGCTACACCAGATCACTACGTTTCAAATATTTTATCATGTAGAAATGTACCTCCAGGTAAAGCATCTTCTGCAGTTTTTTCTTCTTCAACAATCATTGTTTCATCATCTCCCGCATTCTCTTCACTTTCTACTTGAGCTGCCTCGATTTCGTCATCTCCTGTCGTCGACACTGCCTGCAATGCATCACTTGAACCACTTGTCTGCTTAGGTGAGAAAAACAGAATTATTTTCTTTCAAAAAGGCAATATTTATATTTTCATACTAATTCCTTACTCTTTTTTAAATTTGTAATTATTTGTTGTTGTTTTACGCGCCCATTGTGGAAAGAACGTTAGCATGAACCATCCTCAGAGATACGAAAAACCAGTTTCATATTATTCTGACACTGCAATCGAGTACCGAAGATGCGAGTTCAAATCCCGCTCGAGCCAATGAATGAAATAGAATTGAAACACTGAGCGTCCTTTAAGACAAGCGTTAAGTCGTCACGAAAATATTTCGTGCACTTAAATTGGATAAGACTCGCTACCAATCCCCGTTAGCTCAATGGGTAGAGCGGCGGTCTAGATACCCGAAGATGCGAGTTCAACCATCATCATCACTATCATCGTCACCATGACGACTATCATCATCATCACCATCATCATCATTTCCATATATTTTGTTTAATTTTAAGTGATGTTTTTTGCTTTAGTACAATTTAGTTGTAGGCTTTTAACGCTAATAGTCGTTGATAAGTATGAATATCATTACCTATTTTGTAATGCGACAGAAAATTGCAACGTTAGTGTCATTAGCGGAACAAACGAGGCAAACTAAATTCTGGGCGTATATGTTTATCTGACTTGTTTTGGTTTTCGGAACGATATGAAGCGGAACGTTTAGTGCCGTCATTGTTTGGGGGAACAAAAACTCTGTTCCTTTTATAAAGGAACAAACTAAAGCGGAACAGCTCATTCCTTTTTACACTTTAGGAACTATTCGTTCCGTTGCACGAGAAAGGAACGAAAACGCGTTCCTATTTTCGGAACTAAAGTTTTAAGTTGCAATATAACGCGAGATAGGAACAAGAATATACGTTCCTATTTTCGGAACTAAACCCAAAAGTTTTGCCCAATAATTAGCATGCAACCTTTCCTCAGCAAAGTCAGTTTTCGATTATTTGATCGGTATTGTACGAAGATATTTCAATCGATGTCGATACTAACTATTATAACATAGTGAAGAGCAGTAATATATTGTGTTGTTCTCCATGAAGTATATTATATATTGACGAGAATTGCACTGTTGTATACGAAAGAGATTATACCTAAATGGATTTGCCGTTTGTGAAAACTTTATGCTTCAACATGATTTATATATAAATTAGACTGTCTGTCAACTATTTTCAAAGCAAACATATTATACGTATTATAGTCGCAGGAATAGAAAATAAGGCAACCGAGAATGCATTTAGTTTTGCGTGGAATCGTTTAAGAAAGACAGAAATAAGGAATAGAACTTCACAAATTTTATTCAACTATTCACAAAGCAAATTTATATTTACAAGGCACATGAGTGAAATACACTAGATAAGTTTTTGTTGAATTGCACGAAGTCTAAGTGTCCTAGCTTCTCTACCAGGTTGAAAGTTATATTCTGGATGTCGTAGGATTGTGCACCATCGTGCACCAAATCTTTTAATTCCCCTTTCTATAAATTGATCCTCTTCTTTCGTGAATCTCAGGGGTTTGCGTTTCTCTGCAGAAACCTTTTCTGTCGTTGTTTGTGGTATGGGAGTGGTTTCGTTATCACTTTTTGATTCGTGTTCGGAACAATGTTCTTGTTTTAACTGTTCAACGCAAGTGTCCATTTCTGCTCCGTGTAAGCCACGCAATTTTTCCATACATGTTCGCCCTTTGATAGCTACATCTCGAGAACGCAATTTCTGATAATGGACTCGGGCGACATTCGAACTGTGTTTTTGATCTTCAGAAACCAACTTCTGCTCCTCTACATTGAGGATTTGCACACTTTCAGTTTCAATGATTTGCCTGTATCTTGTGGGATGAACGTATTTTCCGATTGCCTGAAAGACTAATATACTTAAGATTTCTGTTAATTTTTGAAATTGAATGCCATTACGATTGACGAGCAAATAGTCGCACCTTGGTTGCAGAAATGGCCTAACATAGCGAACGTAATTGTCAACAACATCCAAACTAATTTCGTCAAAATATAAGGAATCAAAGCCATACTTTTTGGCAGTTTTGAATGTGGTTTGATCGACCATTCCTTTATTTCGTTTTGCACTCTCAAACATGCTAACCGTCAAATGCAGATACGTCATAGGCCTACAGCCTTTAACTTTAAAAAACATAAATAC